TGCGTACATGAAAACACAGTCGCCTGCCACGGGCGACATCAAACGAAAGTCACGCCTGCACCTCTTCTTTGCCCTCGGGCTCGCAAGCTGGGTCAGGCTCAAGCAAGTTGCCTGCGACCGCGAGAGAGAGGTCAGACTTGCCCGCAGCCACGAAAAATCCCAGCAGTCCCAGCATCTCATCCAGCTCATTTTGCGCCAGATGCTTCGTGCCGAGATCTGCCACATTGACTTTACCGAGCGTCTTGGAAAGGATGACTCGACGCTCGGTTACATGACGCTGGAGCCAGAGAGTATTTGTCTCGATGTGTCGGATGCGCCCTGCCCCTCGGCGGTGCGCGATCCCACTGGCGGCCGTAGCGTCGCCAGCCAAACATAGCTCCAGCTCGTATCCCATGTCGCGCGCCAACGAGACCAGGCCGATCCCGCAGGACGCAGTGTGCACTAAAGCGTACCACTCGGCCTCACCTGAGCTGAGAGCCTCACTGCCTTGGGTCGCACTGAAGACCCGAATCATGTGATCTCCCAGCTGGAAGACTCCGCAGCTCGTACTCTTCCTGGTCTCCAGGCAGCCGGCGAAGTCGCTGTCCGAGAAGCCCTTGAGCACACCTGACCATCGCTAGCGTCGGAACCTCTGAACCAGCCTAGGACGGCCCAGGAGATACCTGGCAATCCTCTTGACTAGCTCCATGCCGTGCTCGCACGGCTCGTGCATGTACTTCGCTGCTTCCTTGACTGCGTACTTGATGTCCGGGCGGTCCTCGCTGAGATAGCTGGCTCGCATGACTAGGCTGCGGTAGCGAGTCGCCTCCTCGCCCTCCAGGACCCTGCCACGGTCCACGCTCTTGGCCTTTACTCCTGGCGTCGAGAGGGCCTTTGACCCGCGCCAGAGGTTCAGCTGCTGCATCATGATGAACGCGTGGCGGGAGTCAGCCTCGAGCTCCACATCGCCTCTCGAGGTCCAGCGGAAGACGCGGTTCAGGCAGACCACCTCCGCGCCCAGACCGCGGAGGAACTCCATCTCCTCCTTGCGGCCAGCTGCCACGAGCTCGGGGTCCAGAGCGGCCCCGCTGATGTTGTCGACGATCTCCGTGTAGTACTCGGGGTAGGCGTCCCAGATCGGTGGCTCGTCCAGGTGCGGCCCGGCCTCCAGCGCACCCAGCTGGCCGCGGGCGATCGCCTCACGACGCAGCCCACGCAGCACCGCAGCTACAAACTTCGGTGGGTACCGCTCGATGATGCGCATGCCACGCCGACCTAGGCCGACCGTCTGGCAATGCCTAGCACACCCAGGACACCGACGCGTCAGCTCTCGGGCTATCTCAGCGGAGTTGGTCAACCATCCCGTGGGCTTCTTGACCAGCGCCGGGCCGACAGCATCGGTGCACCACAACCCATACGCACATTGATCGCACTCTACGTAGTGTACTCCTGGCATCTCGGCGATCTCTCGGATCATCCAGAGACGCCAACTCCTCGATGATGCTGGCTGCTCGTGCAAGAAGAGGCGGCCAGCCTTGATCTGCTCTTTGTAGCGCTCGGCACAGAAGACCAGGTGGACAACGCCTCGCTCCATGATGGCGTTGACGTCCACACCATGGATGACGTTGAGGGCCTGCAGGTTCGACCACGGCGCACGCATCGGGCTGCCAGTGATCAGCAGTGGCTGCTCCAGCTCGATGGTGGCCTGCGCCCGCTGCCTGTCGCCCTCCTGGCTGAAGTCGTAGCCGGTCCTGATGTCGTAGGCTGTGCCGGGCTCGGGGTCGAACGCACTCGACCGAGACGTGAGCCGTCCTGGTCCGTAGAGCTCGCTGACGGCCACCCTCCAGTCGCCGAAAGCCGCCAGCAGCGCGCAGAGCTCCAGGGAGTCCGCGTCCATGGGGTCCCCAGCTCCAGGCGGCGCCTGGAGGAGCCCGCTCGGCCCTGCAGCCTGCGCCTGAGGCGTGGCTGGCGCCTGCGCGGGCGTCCTCGGCTGCTCGCCGCTGATCGCTGGCGCGAGGGGTGCTGGACCGCCTGGCACCGCGAGGCGGCGCCTCGATGCCTGCGGCAACTCCGCGGGCGAGCCTCGACGCTCAGCAGCTCGTCGGCCAGGTCGCTCGATCTCCATCGGCGGCTCAGCCGGGCTGGCTGCTTGAGGCAGTGCCCCAGAGCTCGCGCCCTCCTGGCGCGCAGGCGCCCTGTCAGCAGCCTCCAGCTGGCGAGCCGCCGCTCCAAAGACTCGGGGAGCAAGCTCCGGGTCGTTCGCCATGGCCTGCTGGATGCGCTCACGGCACTCCGAGCTGCGGGCCTTGGCTGATGCGTTGGTGCGAGCCGCGAGGCAGCCCGGGCACCCGTCTGTGAAACCGTACTTGGCCAGCTCCACGTTCCTGCGAATGTATACGTTCCGAGGTTCAGCTGGAACCTGCTCTGGCACAACCCTCGGCTGCTGTGCAGCTGGGTCGACAGGGGGCTCGTCAATGACCGTCGGGATGCGAACGTTCTCTGGCTTGTCCGGGGTCGGCATCCATGGCACGCCCCTGATCGAAAGCAACAGGGCTGCATCAGCCCGCTGACTCGGCGGCCTCCTCCTGATAGACCGCGCACGTACGACCCTGCCGTCGTAGCCGACGAGCATCTCGCTCGACTTCTCGATGACGCCCAGGAAGACTCCGATCTTCCAGCGCTCCTCGAACTTGGCGTCGCGCCTCGCACTCGGGAGGAACACGATGATCTCACCGAAAGGCGGCAGCACCTTGCGGAAGGCCTTGCCCTTGTGCCTCTCGTGCGGCGTCCGCCCATCGGCGCCGATCTTGCCACGATTGATACACCCCGCAGCGTGAGCAACCAGCCAAGTCAGCACTGGATGGTCGTTCGGGATGTCAGTGCCGTGCAGCAGGGACAGGGCGACTCGCAGAGACCGTGACACGCCCTTGACCTCCCTCAATGCTACCTCTGCCAGGCCGTCGCTGGCGCTGTCGTAGGCCGGCGCCTCCTCGGGCACGACCTCGAACTTCATATTCCTGACGCGGATCGTCGCCTCTCGCTTGAGCGCCACCAAGGCACCCTCACCATCGGACTTGTAGATGATCTTCGGGTGGCCGGTCGCCTCCACCTGGCAGAAGGCGCGGACCACGTTGTACTCATGCTGGATACCCTTGGACGGGAGGACGTCGGCGCTGACCCGCGAGGTGGCTGAGCCGATGCCGACGAGGATGGGGAGCACGGACTGGCCCGATTCCACCTCCTCCCGCTTCACGAAGTATCCGTAGTCAACTGCAAACGTAGGTACGGCATGCGCTCTCCCAGGAGCGTCCGCTGGGTGACCATCGGCGCGGCCACGCCCAGCCAAGCAGCAGTAGCACCAGTCTCGGAAGGGTACGTGACCTGCTGCTTCGTGTTGCTCGATCTCAGCCTGGGTAGGCTCCTTCGGCCCCCGTCGTGCTCGCACTGGAGCGGGCTGAGATTCGTGGCGCTCCTCAGCGTCACCCTCGAGCTCGATTGTACTTCCAACTCCGTCGTCCCCTGCCACGGCAGCTCCACCTGGCGGGACAGGATCACCTGCGGCTGCGCCGAGATGACTCTCGATGGTCGCAACTTGTCCATCATCAGCTCCATGAGGTACCACTCCTGTCTCAGAAGCGACGCCATGCAGCGCAGGAGGTCCCACTGCTGGCGCCATCATGGCCGGTCTCGCGGCAGCGCCTGCCGCCCGAAAGGGCACAAACGCTTCTTATCCTGTGGCTTGCTGCAGCCACGGCAACCCTCGACCGAGCAGAGCGGCAGCTCCCTCACGAGGGTCTGGGACATCTGGCTCACCTCCTTCGCTGGCACGATGCTCACGTCCAGGTCCCAGGTGCGCTGCCTCCGCGTGCAGCGGACGGTCTTGCCACTCTCGACGTGGACAGCGTGGCTGATGTCGTTCCCGTGCTGGTCCTGGTCGAAGACCACGCGGCGGCCGCTCTTCACGAGGTCGAAGACCGAGAGCAGCGGCCGCCTGACGCCCGCGACACGGGCCCTGATACCCCGTAGCGCACAACCAGTCTGCACCATGAGCTTGCGCTGGCCCTCGTCTGGGATCGGCTCGCCCGTCGCACTGAGGTACTGCGCTCCCGACGGCCACTCCGTGATCGGGCAGTCGGTCCCCAGCGCGCGCGGGATCGCCGTGACCGCCGCGCCTGAGTCGATCCCGAAGCGCACCGTCTCACAGCTCGAGGACATGGCCGACAGGTCGAGCGCCGCCAGGAAGAGGCCACCCAAGCCCTCAGGAGGCCCAGGCTCGCCCATCCCGCCCAGGGCGCCAGACTTCTTGGCGACCGGGCAGTCCTTGGCCAGATGCGCTGTCGAACCACAGGTCCAGCATGGCTTCGGCTTCGGTCCGTCACCACCCTTGGCTTCACCCTTGCCTTTGCCACGGCCTCGACCTCCACCGCCCTTCGGCGGTGCCTTGCCTGACGCGGCCGTCGTATTCCACCAGCAACCTCGCTTCCAGTGACCTGTCTTGCCACAGATCGGGCACGGCTTGGTGGGCAGGTCGTCGGAGCCCTCGCCTTTGCCGGCCTTGCCGCCCCTGCCCTTGCCGTTGCCGCCCTTGCCGTTCTTGCCACCCTTGAAGCCGAGAGCTGCCAGCTGCCGCGCCAGGGAGTCGATGTCCATCGGGGTCGGGCCAGTGCCAGTACTCGCCGTCGTCGCAATCTGGGCCCGCCTGAGGTTCTCGACCTCGGCCTTCACGAGCTCCCAGGTGTTCAGCCGCTGGCTGTTGAGGAGCAGGTGGTGGCGCAGCGGGCCCTCCTTGAGCGAGCGGACCAGGATGCCTATCTTGATCTCATCGGGAAACTCTGCACCCACAGCCTGCTCGTAGCGCTTGACATTCCTGTCGAACGCAATCAGCTTCGAGGGGACGTCACCTTCGAAATCCCACGAGAGCAGCTCCTGAAGGAGCCCCGCTGCCCGGGTGCGGCTCTGAGGCTCGTGGAAGGTGACCAGGGTTCTCCACGCCTCCACCCCCTCGTTCACTCCTGCACTAACAATGCGGTCTAACGAGAGCCCTTTGTTCAGCATGACCAACATATAGTAGAGCTGGCTGCTGAGGCGCACCTGGTCGTCGGGCAGCGTCGCATTCAGCGCTGGCGTGTCGGCATGCTCAGCCCTGTCCATGGCGCCCTTCAGGGCTGGCTCGCACGCGCTGGCGTAGGCTCGGAAAATCGTACTCCAGTCACGCCAGGTCCCAGGCTCGCCATTGAAGTCACTAGGCTTGCCGAGGACCCGTGTGTCAATCAATCTGTTTGTCTCCTGCGGCGGGCCACCAGGCTGGGCTGCTCGCTGCTGCTGCTCTTGACCTCGGGCGTCCTGAGCCATAGCCTCTGCCGCCTGCACTCTGGCCTCGGCGGACTCCGCCTGGGCCGCCAGCCGCTGGATGACTTGCTGCTGCTGCTGCTGCGCCTGGGCGAGTGCCTGCTCGAGCTGCGCGAACCTGGCCTCGTCCATGCTCGCCGTTGACCTCGCGGCCGCGAGCCTTGATGGCCTTGAGAGCCTCGCCCTCGCAGTGCCACCTGGTGCGGCGCAGCGCCAGTCGCAGCAGCTCCGTCACGATGATCGCCCAGCTCTCGGGCGGCGATCCGAGGACTAGCTTCCAACCAGTCTCGTCTGCGGCCTCTGCGGCCGTGCCGGCGCCCGCCACGGACGCTGCGGAGAAATGCGCAGCGGCATCGCAGGCCGGCCGACAAACCTTGCTCCGCTACCATGATATACGGTATGTCCGTTTCTCAGCTTGAGCTAGATACGGCAATGGTAACAATAAACGTCACGGCATGCATATCCGAGAGCTACCCGATCAGGTGAGGCAGGGGCCGCCGCCGCGCTTTTTGTTGCACTGCTGCTTTTTCGGCAGATTCCTCGCCCTCTTCCTCCCACCCCTCCTGGTGCTACACCCTCTGACCCTTGGCCAGGGGGCGCTCTTCTCAAGCTGAAGCGAAAGTGTTGCGTGCTGTCTTTTGCTCTGTCTTGCCTCTCTGGTCCTCTCCTTTGCTACCAGAGATGTCCGCGGCGCCAACTGTTGGGGCATCTCTCAAATGCCTTGCCGCCCTAGGTTGCCCAAAGGTTCCAAGGGGGCGCCGCCGCGCGGCCAGGAGGGCCCAAGAAGTCTGAAATGACTCTGGCAGGTCATATAGCATCCAATTCCATGTCGAAGGAATACGATATGGGGAGTGGATGGATAGGATAGGATAAGATCGATGTAGTGATCTTTCCAGCACATAGCGAACACTAAGGTAAGTGTCCGGGCAAATAGGGCGCGCGTGCCTTGAGCCAAAGGCAGCGGCGCGCAGGCTACACTCCCGATCCTCTATAACATCCCCCAAAGAGCTACCCTTAAAGTCGGGAGGGGAGGAGACGGAGAGTAAAGCCGCGCAGCCGCTAGGCTCTAGAAAGGCCGCGCGCACAACTGTTTGCAAGAAAAACAGTGCGCAAAGTCTGGCCTACCACCAGACTGAAGGGCGAGATTATTCGCCGGCGAGTTTCCTCGCAAAACTTTCCCACGCACACGCAGGATAGCCCCTTGGATATACAAGGGCCATCGGCCCGGCTAGAGGTAAGCCAAACAGGCTATTCCCCTCCAGGCAAAAGGGTATTAAAGCAAAGAGCATGAACCAATCTGAACAGGTTCGTTGCCAAGCGTGAAAAGCATGGCTCGTTTCCGAGCACCTAGGAGGGCGCCTCTGCATTAGGCGCCTGTGCTGGCAAACTGGACCGCGGGGGCAACAAGGACAGACTAAAACTGATTCGACTTAGGCTTGTTTCTGTCCTCGGGGCCACGAGAGGGAACAAACTGCTTCACGTCATACTTAAATGACTGAGTGCCTGACATCACTTCCAGAAGCAGCTACCGATCAATACTCCCCTTTGTATGCCCATCTGCGGTCATGTCTCTAGTGTCACACCACTGTACGTTATGCACTATACCTATATCCATGAGCTCACGTATCCAGCTGATATGTCCCAGCAAAGTCCGTTCCGTCGGTATCTTAAGATCTTTGCTGGATAGCGATTTGTATACAGACTCAGCGTCTAAAGTAAGGGATACTTTGATAGCTAGGCCTCCAACTTCACGCATGTCTCGTAGTTGTCGTGGAGTAAGTGCTCCTGCCTTGAGCTCGTGGAGAGTGATGAGCGTGGGATAACACTCATCAAGATTGTGTGCAGCTGCAAGTGCCTCAGCGGCATAGCTGGACCTCACCTGCAGTCGGTGTGATTTGCATAGTCCGTCGCAAAAGTGAATGACGGATCTGCCTCGAGGCGAGTTTCCTCGCTGTAATACGTTAGCCCCACGAATACCGTAGCCCTCGGTTTCATCCTTCCTCCTCCCCGGTGAGCTTCCGATACCCCGAATCACTGTGTATGTCTACTTCATTCGTCGGTTTCATCCGAGGGAAGGTGATGCGTTTCGGGCTGCTGATCAGCTTTCGCGCCACAGCATTCAGTCGTCTGACTTGTAAGTTAGTGGGCTCTTGGATCTTCTGGAGAGAGACC